AGAGAGAGACAGACAGACAGACAGTGCAACTGACAGACACAAAAACAAGGAGTAGAGAGGGGAGACAGAGACAGGAGAGAATACACTCATCTTTCTTGTACTACACAGTAAGGAGGGGAGAAAAGCATTACAGAATTTCTTAAAAACTGCAACAATGTGGTAGCAATCGCACAGAGCAAGCCTTTGTAGCTATTAATCCCACCTGAGTGTTTTTGGCCTCAAGCGTCTTATTCAGCTTGCGTAGGTGGTCATTCTGTAAACTGGTTTCAGCAAAAGAATGCAGCTGTTCTTCTAGCTGTTTAACTTTTACCTAGAGGAAAAATATAAAAAGAATAAGCCTCATATACTTCAAGGGAAGGATGTTATGAGATTGCAAAACACTTGCAGAAGCATTTGGAATTTGCAAACAAAAAATCCTAAGTTTTTCTAATCATACTAAGAATCCTGTTTCAACTCAACCCTGAAAGTAGGCTAGCAGTTTGACAGTCCTTTGGTTACCATTGCTTGTAGGATATACAAATGGACACAATCTGTGAACACGCGAGTGAAATCGCATGGCTAATATAGTTCAATTTTAAATAAATTGTGGTACCTGGCATTCATAAACCTTCTCAAAGTTGGTAATTGGAACTGCCAACGTCTGGGCTGGGGATAAGAGCTCAGCAGTCCAGCGCCTGCTGGGTAAGTGCAAGGCCCTGAGTTTGAATCCCAGCACAAATATAGTCTTGTATTTTACTGACAGAGAATTAGAAAATTTAAATAAATACATTTCAAATATATTGAGTAACATTTTAAAACTAACTCATAAAGATAACTACTTACAGTATTCTCCATAAGGAAAATTATCACTTTGTAGGAAAGTCATTAATGCACATTCATACTATACATATTATATATCATTCAGAAATCTACAAATTTTGTACTTTTACACATTTTCTTCCTCTTATCTCTGACCTTCTCATACAAAGCAAGGATTACTGTCACTGGTTTCCTAGACCAGGGAAACTTTCCTCTAGTCTTTTGTGACAGATGTTATTTATTTTTCTCCTCTTGATACCTTGCTACCTACCTGTAGAGAGCAAAGACCTCTTTGGCAGTAGCTACTGGACATTTCCAGGAACTGTTACGACCTGTGTGACTAGCGCGTTGGTTTATTATTATTATTATTTTATGTATTTGGTACAGGTCTCACTACACAGCTCACATTTGTAGTGATCCTCCTGTTTTCAGCCTCCCCAGCACTGGGATTATAGGAGTGCACCACCATGTCCAGTCTCGGTGTCTAGCTCAGCATGCCTGGAGGCAGGGCTGGCCTAGCATATGATGCCAGGGATCAAACCCTGGTCCCTGCGCTTGCCAGGCAGGCACTTAGACCACCGAACTATCTTGCTGACCCTGGGAAGTTTTGTGAAAGGGTGAGGGAAGCCCCTTTTCTCTCAGGAAACTGCTCTACTCCACTAGCAGCACTCTTCCTTCTCCACTGTCCTCTGCTTCTGTAGCGCCTTTTCCCCAGGGTAAAGGAAATGCACACTGGGGTCCCCACAGCATCAGTAAGAAGTAATCTCGGTTTTCATGTAAGGATGAAACCTGAAATGGCACCTCTGAAGAAAGGCTTTGATCCAACAGTTATTCTCATTTTAAACAAACAGCTGTGAACCCACAGAAGCTAAGGCAAATGGACTGTCCTGCATTACCAGTGAGGGTGAACCTTTTAGAACTTTCAGTGGCACGTGTGCCAGTACGGACTAGACTTCAGGTTTGCCTCTCTTCAAGGAAAACAAAGTCCTTACTCCCCAGTCTTCCTCAGAAAACTCACCCTGAAACTCTCGGGACAGCATATTCTCAGGAAGAAAGCACTTTCATTTTTCTATCAAATTTCTCACTTGGCACAAATTCCTACCCAGGATGTTCAAAATGAGGAAGAACAGAGAAGGGTGGTCAGAAGCAAACCCTGCTACCTCTCAGAGGCTGTGTCCCATGACCGTGAAAACCCAGGCAGCTTCCATAACTGGCTTCTTTGCTGGCCTCAGGAACAGCAGCCATTTAGGTCAGGTTCATCCCAGGTATTGGGTGGGCTGACTATACATATAGGTCTATCCGTAGCTTAAAATATTAACACTATAGGGCTGGGGAGATAGCTCAGCAGAATAAGCGCTTACCTGGCAAGCGCAAGGGCCTGAGTTCAATCCCTGGTTCCACCAAAAAATAAAAATAAATAAATAAAAAAGAAAGAAAGTAGGAGAAATTTCAACTAAGAAATGAAAAAAAATTCTCCTCTCAATCCATTGTGTGAAGCAATACAACACATGTTCTAATATCTTTCAATATACTGAAGTAAAGTAGGACATGCTTATCATGGTAGCTCTTTGTAGTTTGAAATGACCTTGAGTTAATACAACCCTAATGGCCAAAGTTTATATGAAAATATATTCAGGGAATTGTGGCAATGTTAATGTAGCATAATCCCACCCCCCAAGACTCTTACCTAATACATAACAGGGTACCATGTAGCAACGTACACCAAAGAACCAGAACAAGCAACATGAATGTCACAGTTCTGATGCTGGGTACTGTGTGGTTACATAGAGTGGAAGCAGCGATAAGCACCTTGGGGTGCTGGACGTCAGGACGGTAACTTGTCCTGCGGGGCACGCAGTGGGCAAAGGTCCTGGGTTGGACACACTGCTTCCTGGCCTGAGCACTGATCTGGCAGGCTTGTTTGCCAGGTGTGGTGACACACTGCTGCCGTCGCAGTGCTGGGGAGGCAGAGGCAGGGGGCCGCTGCAAAATTCAAGGCCTGGGTAGGCTGCACAGTGAGTTCAAGTCAGGTAAACTAGATAATGAGACCCTGTCTCAAAAACAAACAAAAAACCCATCTTTTTTTTTTTTTTTAATGAATGTTTACAACACATTCCCAGAAAGAATAACAGAAAATAAAACAGAAGCGGGCAACTCCCTATGACTAGAATCGCAACCCAGGGCACTGAGTGAGAACCTGAGGGACAAGTCCTGCTCACAGTACTTGTCAGAGTTCCCCAGGTGACCTCAGGGTAAGCTGTGGCTGGGGACAGTGATGGAGAGCTGGGCAACAGTGCACAGAGTGTGATCTCATGTGACACCAGTAACCAGTGCTTCGCAAGCACGGCTATGTGTCCCTTGGGGAGCGCCTGGCTTTTCTAGCCATCTGTTGCCTGCCACACCGAAGAGGACCTTGGGTGGACAAGGGCATGGTTCATGCCGGCAGTCTCTGGCCAGACGGTGGTCACCAGGCCCAGCTGGGCTGTACGTCATCCCATGGAGTCCTCTGCTCCCCAGCTATTTTATTTTCAGTTATTCTTTCCAGGAATATGTTATAAAAATCCATTTAAAAAGACAGCAAGACAGCACAGGGCCAGGAAGATAGCTCAGTGGAATAAGCGCTTGCCTGGCAAGCGCAAGGTTCTGAGTTCAATCCCCAGTACCTCAAACAAAACAAAACCAAACCAACCAAACAAACAAAACAGAGGCAGCACAGGCTCTCGACATTCTCTGTGTGACCACATATGAACTAACTACAGAAAGGCTTCAGATCCTCCCAGCAAGCTCTGGCTTTGGCAGTGTCCTACGGGATGGGAACAAAATGCCTGGGTGCTACTGAAGTGTCATGCAGCAGGCCCTAGAGATTAGGAGGTGGCTGCTGGGACTTCCACAAGTCAACCAGCATTTGGTTTGACGATTAGTATCTGCAATGCAGTCTACAGGAATTGGAAAGGAAATCTCATACCTGGAGCTGGCCCTTCTCATAAGCCAGTTTGTTTTTGCTCTCGGTAATTTTCCCCAAGACTTTTTCCACCTTCTGCTGGGCAAGCTGATAAAGCAAACACAGGTGTCAGTGCAGCTCGGCACAACAAGATGGCCGTCTCCTTTTCAAACAAGCGCTCAGGCCCGAGCATCTCCTCGGCCTTAGCTTGTGACCTTCCCGCTGAGATGCACACTTATTTGGTGCCCTGTCTCTTAGTTTGGGTAGCTAATGGGTCCCAGTGCTAACAGGTGGCACCTGTGACCCTTGCTGGTGAAAATACAATCCTTCTCTATGTTATTCCTTTGCAGCTGTGAACAACTGGGAATGGTGTGGTTGGATCTGGGGCTACAGAGAGTCTGAAGAATATCATTCAGGCCTTAAAAACACAGGAGCTGAAAATGACCACTACTCAGTTGCCACTGAAAAAAAAAACAAAAACGGTATAAAACAATCTCTCAATGAGCAAAAGAGCATTTCTATTTTAGACTTGCTAAATGTTTATTGGTGACAAGCTCATTGTTTGATAAAGCACTCAACAGGGTTACCTAGACAGTACTTAAGTTCATTAAATTATATGTTTTCTTTTCTTTTTTTTTTTTTTTTGTTGTGGAACGGGGGATTGAACTCAGGCCCTTGCGCTTGCCAGGGAAGCTCTTATTTTATTGAGCCATTTCCCCGGCCCTATATGTTTTCATTACTGAAATATCCTTTAATAATGACAATTCTTTTTCATATGTTGTTTTCCTCAAATTTCCTTCATAAAAATGAGTGTACTCTTTAGTCTTACTGGTATTTATTCCATGAGGGCCTCTACTAGTGACTGAATACGAACTCCTCACCCTGTCGATGTCAGTGTCTCAATACAAGGAGGGCTGGCAGTTAACGTCTGCCCGAATGATCTCCGTAAGCCGAGCGGGGATACCAGCCCCAAAGCAGACATGGCCGGGAACTCGAGCTCTGTCCCTCAGGCTGAGGAGCGGCACTGAGGGTCGGCCCTGAGCCCACCCTCTCCTCGATGTTAGTAAGTAGTGCGTACTGACACCACCCTCCACCGCTGGCTTATTTCAGTTAGTCTGTGGCTAAGGAGATGGGTGCTTTCTAAGGAATTTTAGGCCAAGGTGCTTGCCTTCTGCCTCTGGGATGCAGCTGCACATGCAGGCCTGTTAATACACCCCAGAGATGGGCTTCTCTATCCAGCCACAGCTCGCCTTCAGTAACTTCTTTATTTCCTGTTGGGAATCCAAAAGCAAGATCCATCCCAAGCTTATTACACAGCTCGGTTTTTTAAAAATGTCACTGAGTTTTCTCTCACTAAGGTAAAGAAAACTAGTTGTCTTCTTTCTTTCCTCTCCTCCTCCTGCTCCTCCTCTCTTCTTCACGTTTCTTTTACTTTTTTAGGACAGAATCTCACTATGCAGTTCAGGCCTTGAACTCACTAGAGCTCAGGCTAGCCTGGACCTTGTGGTGACCCCCCTGCCTCAGCCTCCTGAGTGCTAAGGGTACGGGTGTATGCTACTACGCTTGGTTAGGAAAGTGTTTTTCCAAAAGCATTTGGACCAGTGAAATATTGCTTTTGAAATGATCAAGTAAAATATAGACTTATCATGAGGAGGCTACTGATTATACATTGTAAAATTACTTATTGATATACTAACTGAAAACCATGCAGCCCTTTCCCACAGTTTTCTATTTCAGCATGCTAAACCATCCCATGATTGCTGCGTTATAGCTTCTTAGTGCATTTATTAGTACATAATAGTTATAACGGCTTTCAGCTGGGTGTGGTGGCACACGCCTGTTATCCTAGCACTCGAGAGGCTGAGGCTGGAGAATGGCTGCCAGTTTGAAGCCAGCCTGGGCTGCAAAGTCAGCTCAAGGCCAGCCTGAACTGCATAGCAGGACCTTGTCTCAAAAAAAAAAAAAAAAAAAAAAAAAAGAGGGGGGTTCCATTAAGGCACACAGGTACCAGCACTGCCACATTTTGATTATTTTTATTCTCCCGTTGCATTCTCTACCTTCCTCCCTTCTCTCATCTCCAGCAGTCTTCCTTCAACTTTCCTATCATCTCTCATCTCTTTCCCCTCTAGCTCGCTCCCATATATGAGCAAAAATATGCAGTATGACCTCCGAGTCTCGCTGCTTTCTTCAGCAACAATAATGAAAAAAATCCAGAGGACAGCTGAACATGCTATAAAGCTCTAACACTGAAATCTTATTTAAAACTTAGTTTCAAGTTCTATAAACTAAGGTATCCTAATGTGCTGTACAGTATAATTAAAGAGAGCTAGATGTGACCTAATTATGCTCTTTTTTTTTTTTTTTTTTAGAACCAGGGATTGAACTCAGGCCCTTAGCTTGCCAGAGAAGCGCTTATTCCACTGAGCCATCTCCCCAGCCCCTAATTATGCTCATATTAACAAACATTCAACATTCAAAGGTAACTAGCTTATCTGCTTATCTTTAAGTGTGGAAAGGTTATTGGTTGGAATAAGTCTGGGTCTCTTATAAATGGTATTCAGCAATTTCTATAAAAGTATATTTTTTTCCTTAATAAAATTTCTACTTTAGGTAAAGGCATGAAGAAATTCTATTAATCTGTTAAATAAACCTTTTAATAAGAACTTCCTCTTTTTGCCAACAAAGTGAATAAAAATAGTAAGCAAAATAAAAATGTGGCAATATTTGACACAAGGTCACTAAACATGACAAGCAAAAAGAACTGTTGCCAGTTGCCAGGGGAAAGTAGATGTTAAGGCAGTTAAATCACTGTGTACAGATTTACACAGCACATGATCTAGTCATTAGAAGACCGGATCTTAGAAGGCACTTAAATAAGTGAAAATCTTGGGTTCCAATTTATGGAAAACAGAACTAAGATTAATCTTTGCTTAAGTATCCTTGCCAAATGACTATGAAGGTTATTAATACAGAAAGCAAAGGAAAATGCTAGTGTTTAATATGCCATTTAAACTCAGAAATACAATGCCTGCAAACTTAGGTTGTTAACCATCCAGAAGAAAAGCTTATTGTTATTATCAAACGATTTGGGCTATCAATCTTAGCCTCACTATCTCACTGCATTTCAAACATCTTAGGCATAATAAGGAACAGGTATTTTTCATCAAGTATTGATATGTTGAACTTTAAGTCCCTACATAATATGATAAAAAAAACATTTAAAAATTAGATTATATTTTAAAAAATAGGATAAAGAATTCTATGCTTCTCATGTTTGCACATAAGTCCAAAAATCTCACCATATACAACGTTGAAGCAGGACAGTCCCACAATATTCCTTTTCCTGTCTCTTGCTTTCATTCACCACCCCCTTCTTCTTGAACATCCATCTACCCGAGAGACATCTTAGCAGTAACTGGCATGTCATGACAAGCCGCCCATATTCAGAATACCACAATGACAGGCACTTCCAACATGAAACAACTGTTACAAATTACCATCTGCAATGCAGTAGCTTAGTTCCCAGGTATCAGTATATATAGTTAGTCAGGGTGAGAATCTTTCCAATTAACTTCTAGATTAAAAAATCTTCTGAATATTCTCAGGATCCTTGCCTTGCTCATCTTTTATATATAATTGCATGGCCAAAATTAGAGAAAAAGGAGGGATACAAGGAAAGCCAACATTTTGGCCCTAGCCTTCTAAGGTCAGTTAAGACTCAGGACATATGAGAACTTGTACTGTAACGTCATGTACCTCGGTAGTGTCCCAAATTTTCTGATCAAGAAGATTATGGGGCCAAAGAGGAAAGTGATCGATGACATAGAGTGGGCCTAAGGAGAGTCACATGGGGAGAAGACACTCTCTCAGGCTTTCACAGAGAGCACATTGGCCAAGCAATGGCCGTGACTCATCCACATGGCTGCACTGATAAAGGTTCTACAATCTGAGGTACAGGATCTCAGGACAAATCCTGAGGGCATTTCACTGACCTTCTCAGACCAAAAAGCTACAACTCTTGTTGCATAGGTCCTGCTTTACCTTGGTCTTAACCATCCAGCAGAAAAATATGAAGTCGAAATATAAGAAATAAAGCCATGCTGTTAAGTTGAGCTGTGGGAGACTCAGGTCAATAATTTCTGACATTGCCAGTTAAACAGAAGACCCAATGCTATTATGGGCTACTGGACTCTTTTAGAATATTTTGCTGAGTTTACACACCTATAATATTCAATAACGGAACTTAGAAAAAATGGGGTATACCGATGAATGTCCATTTTGTATCTGTGTATTCAAAGAGGTTGGGATAGATATATAGTTGCATTCTCTTAATGAATAGAATGATTTGTTCTAATGGTGTTTGTAAATAGGATCACAAGTCCGCATCTTGTACAGCAATTAACCACTAAGAAGAATATAAGCAGTGTATTATTTGTTGATACTGTACTTCCAATTTGATTTGAAACTGTCTCATTGCTATCTGTTTATCAATAAAACTTTGAAAAAAAAAAAAGAAAAGAAATACAATGCCACTTCTCAGAAAAGCAGAAAACAATCAGGAAGAACTGCTTTAAGACATGAAGGCTTGGCGGGCAAGGATCAGCAGGGCTATGGCTGGATCTGAGAGCCAGCCTTGCGCTTGCTGGGCAGGGCTGGAACCTTTAAGAGTGGTGCCTAGAGGGGAAGTGAGGTCAGTAGGGGCGGTGCCTAGAGGGGAAGTGAGGTCAGTAGGGGCGGTACCTAGAGAGGAAGTGAAGTCAGTGGGATCAGGCCCTTTAAAGGGGACTCTGGGCCCTTGCCCTTTCCTGGTCCTGTCTTTCCACTGGCCCTGGGATGAGCAGCTCCAGGCCAGGCCACCACAGGTTTCCAATTAACAGTACACTGGAACCTCCAAACCTAGAGCCCAAGGTAGATCTTGCCTGCTTTATTGATTAGCTTAGGCATTTAATCACAGGGACTAAAAGCTAAAACAAATAGCCACATAATGCTTTCAAAATCATGCTTTTCATTTTTGTGCTATCAGAGATTGAGCCCAGGACCTTGTGCATGAGTGGCAAGCATCACGCCTTTGAGGCATGTCCCAGCCCTAACGTCACTTTTGAGCTCCATGATACAAACTGTCAGAAGAACCTATTAAACGGCTGAGATACTGGCATCTGGGTGGAGTTGTTTTGTAAGGAGAAGGTGAGTGGGGTACCCCAAATCTGACCTGGGCTAGCAGACTGAGCATGTTGGGCACCTGCACAGGTACATGCTGGCTGCAGGTCATGCTCAAAGGCACAGCACAGTCACTGTCTAATTTTAAGTCATTCAAGTTGCACAAGGAGTTATGTATGTTTGGTGCTACTAATTAAATGTTCAAAACTTGGAAGAGAACTGGAAAACACACTTAGCTTGAAGCCAGAAACAGTGATGTCCCTACATTTGGATCCTTTCTCCCTGTGGTTCTCTGTCATGAGGCAAAAGATAAACCTAAAATTAGGACATGTAAGAAAAGAGAGTGCTTGCTTACACATGTTGCCTGTTGCCCTGTGAGGGCACCTGGCCCTGAGGACAGCACCGGTAGTGGGTGAGGCGTCCACGACATCCCACGCTGTGCGCAGGTGATATTCTTGTCTGTGTTATGATGGGTGTCGTGCTAGACCAGGGAGCATAACAGGGTGGCTACTGTGAAGGTAGATGCTGGTCTGGTCAAGCTGGGGTCTGTGTGGCCACTACTCTGACGTGGGTGGGCACTGCAGGCAGTGGGAACCCCACAGGTGGGCGGTCCTTCTGCCCCACAGGGTTTGAAGGTTAAGAACAAACCCAGGGCTATGGCAGATGGAGCTACAGGTTGAAAGCAGGTTTATGGGAACTCCAGCCATCTCTCCTGTGTGTATCTCCAAAAGCCAACAGGAGTTTATCCTAGAGGGCATGCCTTAAGAATTCCAAGTGTTAACTCAGAACCAGAATACACTGCCAGCACTGAATGGCAACAGGTTTAGGGCTGTTAGTAAATTCAAGAACAAGTCCTGGAGTCTTGGCCTCATTCCTCAGACTCAGAGCCAGCAGAAGCACCCCAGGCAGGTTTGGGCAAGAAGCTCCTACACAGAGACAGAACTGCAAACCTGAACGGAGGCATGAGTTGTCTGGAGACTTTAATCCAGAGGCAAGTGAGCCTGCCACAGTCAGCACTGACCAGCTGAGATCTGTCAGTGTCACCACTAGGGTGAAGCCACGCCCCTGCACACAGCAGTGGATCTGGGAACAGCTCAAGCAGACTGAGATGCGTCTTCCCAGGGACCCAAACGGGATGGCTGGGTCAGTGGAGCTGAGGCTCTGGCGTCAGGTAAAGGGTAGGCTGAGTCTTTCACCCTGGGGCAGGCAGGGAGGCACCTTCAGTCCACGCCCTGCTGCAGATCCTAAACACCGAGCACACAGTAGCTGTCTGCTCCACGCTGTGCATGCAGTACCCTACTTACTTACAAACAGCATCACAGTAACGATATTATTATCTGCATTTTGACAGATTTAAGAAACTGAGGCTCTGAAAGGTTAAGGATCATATCTAACATCACAGCCAAAATAGAAACTTAGACAATCTGGCTTAAAGGCCATGAAGATATAAGGTTTAGACTAGTTTGTGTAATTCTTTATAGTTGAAGCAATTTAAGGCAGAGTTTGAAAGGATTTAGCTGAGATTAAGAAAGACATCAGGGTCTTCTGTGGAATTTTCAGAAATTGCCTGCATATTATACAAGAATTTTTTTTTTCATTTATGTATTTGGTATAGGATTTCACTACGCAGCTTGGACTTGGAGTGATCTTGTTTCAGCCTCCCCAGTGCTGGGATTACAGGTGTGTGCCACCACACCTGCACTCTTCACTGGCTCAGTGGGCCCTGAGAGTGGGGCCGGTGTGGCATGTGGGACTAGGGATCGAATCCTGGTCTCTGCGCTTGCCAAAGCAGGAGCTTAGTCTGCTGAACTATCTCGCCAGCCCTAATTTTTTTCAAGTATTAACAATACACAGGAAAAATCTGGGTGTGGTGGTTCATGCCTGTCATCCCAGCGTGAGGGAGACTGAGGAAGGATGATTGCTGTGAGTGTGAGGCCAGCCTGGGCTACAAAGTAAGCTCAAGGCCAGCCGGAACTGCGTAGGAAGACCCTGTCTCAAAAAGACAAAATAAATAAATAATACAGGAAAATTATTAGCTCAATAGAATGATCATTTTTTTGAATCCCCTTCACTTGGAGATATTTTGAGAATTTTAACTTATTTGTAATTCAGTGACTTCGTCAGACAGCTTTTAGAATCAGATATATTACTAGTTGTGCACTAGAGGAAACTGACAGGAGAAAGACCTCTAAGTTTCTTCCTCACAATTCATGGAAAAAGAAATCCTTTAAAACATCAGATGTAATTTTGCTTTTCAGTATCAAAGGTCATCTGGGTGGGTAGTCATGAAATAGCTACCTCACATTCTTATTTCCTAAATCGCTTCTTGTTTGAAAACTGGTGGGAACTCTGTCACATTTATTCTGAGTCACGCTAATGTATACAAAGAACTTGGGATTTCACAAACAAAACTTTTCTCCTGACTTCTACTTTAATAATGTTTTCAAAATTATTTATTTATTTGGTACAGGATCTCGCTATGCAGCTTGGATTTATAGTGATCCTCCTGTCTTAGCCTCCCCAGCTCTGGGATTACAGGTATGCACCACTATGCCCAGTCTTGGTGGCTGGCACAGTGGGCCCAGGGTTCTGAGACCTGCACGGATTGTACCGGGGATCGAACCAGGGTCCTTGCGCTTGCCAAGCAGGTGTTTAAGCCCCTGAGCTATGTCCCCAGTCCCCTGACTTCTGCTTTTTAAAAACTTGTGAACTCCTGTTTCCTCCTTTGGACTGACCTTTTCATACCCACCCCATGGTAATCGGAAGCGACGCGCTGCAGCCCAAGGGAAGCCATTTGATCCGCGAGGTACTTATTTTCTTCCACCAGTGTCTGCAGATTTTCATTTAAGGTATTTACATCTACCTTTGAAAAACAAAGGGTGGAAAATTACTTGTCAGATCCCAACTGTATCATGTCGTTCTCAGAATGACAGTGTAACCGTGAACTGAATGTAGCTTTCATACGGGTTCCCCTGCCTGCAGTATCGGGATTTGATGGATCTGATAACTATAATACTATAATTATTGCTCTTTTTTTTTTCCAGATCTTCTAGTTGATTTCAGCAGGAGGGTAACTGCAAAATACACAGGTCAACTTTAATAATGGTGGAAGTTTTTCTGGTACTTGGCACTTGTTTAAATAATAATTAAAGCTTATGAATACAGATGCAAAAATCCTACACAAAAGCCTGACACAATGAATCCATCAATACAGAAAAGGGTGTAAGAACCAAGAACAGTTTCTTTGGGCAAAGCTCGAGTATACTGACAATCAGTATAACCCGCCACATCCTCCAGCAGACTTTATCTCTAGACTGCTTATACCTAGTACAATGTGGACATACTGTGCTTTGCATTGGGAATGTCTCCGAGGCCAGGTGCTGGGCCTTTGGGAGGTTGGTACACCACTCAGTATCTGTGGATTTGCCCACGACTGGTGGGCTATTCGGAGGTGGCTCGGCGAAGGCTGTGGTGCAGGAGCCTGCCCCTGGGCATTTTGGCTCTCTCCAAGCTCCCTGCTCTGCCACTCTGGCTCCCTTCTGCTCCGCCACATGGTCCCCACTGTGATGCTGTGCCTCGCTTGGGCCCGGAAGCCACAGGAGTCACATGACTGACCATGGACCTCTATATGAAAACTATAAACTCTGGAAAAGGCCACAGAAGAGGCCATCAGCAAGGAAAGAAGTCTGCATTCCTGGGTATAGATCAGGCAGAATTAATATATTCAAAATGACCATAATTCCTAAAACCAACAGACAGATTTAATGCAGTCTCAAACATGATACCAGTGGTATTCCTCACAAAACCAGTGCAATAGTCCTAAAGCCACATGAAGGCGGAAGAGAGTACAGAAAGCAAATGTGAGCAACCAGAGCACAGCAGGACGCATCACAAGCCCAGATTCCAAGTTACAGTACAAAGCTGCAGGGACAGAAGCAGTGTGGTACTGCTACAGAAGCAGACCTGCGGAGCAGCGGAACAGAACAGGGATGCAGAATTCACTCCAGGCACTTCGGCCACTGAATGTCGGACAAAGGGGCCGAAACATGCAATCGAGAAGAGCCAGCACCTCACAGATAATGCTGGGAAAAGTGGCCATCCACATGCCAAAGAACGAATCTAGGCCCATCTCTCTCACCATGTTCTAAAATAAAATGAATTAAAGACCTAAACATTAAACAGACATAATCTTCTGGAAGATAAAATACATAAACCTGTGGAAGACAAGCATATGCAAGCATCTTCTGAACAGAACCTCAACTGAAGAAATGACAAAACAGAGTGAAGAAGCCGCCCACTGAGGGAGAAAAAGATTTGCTAGCTACCTCTTAGCCAGAGGACTCATATCCAGAATCTCTAAGGAATTCAGAAACATTAGGCCCTCACATGAAAGACTGATTAAAAAAAGGGTTAACTGAAATGGTTAGACACTTCTCAGAAGTGCAAATGGCCAGTAAATACATGAAAAGGTGTTCAATATTTCTAGTCACTATAAAAATGCAAATTAAAGTAACACTGAGATTGTCTCACCCCAGAAAGAGTGGCCTTCACCAAGGAGCCAACAGAGGGGCCAGGAGACAGCTCAGTGGCATAAATGCCTGCCTGGCAAGTGGAAGTCCTGAGTTTAATCCCCGGTACTGCCCCGCAAGAAGCCAATAGCAAATGCTGGTGGTGCTGCAGGGAAAAAGCACCCCCTATAAATTGTTGGTGGGAACGTAAACTAGTACAGCCACTTTGGAAACTAGTATGAAGATTCCTCAAATGAGGAAAAATAGAAATTCCACTTAACCCAGCCATTTTCATTTTTGGTATCTTCCCCAAGAGAGAGCGCCATCAGATCACAGTGATACAGTCATAGTCATGTTTATGGCAGCACAAGTACATGTGGAAAGTGGAAAGCTGGGCACAGTGGTGCACGCCTGTAACCCCAGCACTTGGGAGGCCGAGGCAGGAGCGTCACTGAGAGTTCAAGGCAAGCCTGAATTACATAATAAGACCTTGTTTCAAGAAACAAAAGTTCAATCTCATTGATCAACGAAACAAAAATCAAAACTACAAGATATCATTTTACCTTCAGTTACAATGGTTATCACCAGTTATCCAAAAGACAAAAAAAAAAAAAAAAAAAAATACTGGCCAAGAGGTAGAGAAAAGAGAACCCTGTGCACATTGGTGGGAATGAGAACTGGTACAGCTGCAATGGAAAAGGGTATGAAGCTTTCTTTGAAAACTTCAAATAATAAAATAAAACCAAGTTTGAGGCTTTGTCTTGCTTTTGAAAAAAAAAAACAAAAACCTCAAAACAAGAAAAATGCTTCTGAAGCTAAAAGTAGAACTCTGTGTGGCCAGCCAGTCCATGACTGGACACATAGCCAAAGGGGATGGAATTTCATCCCAGAGGCTGCTGCACCTGCGTGACTAGTGCAGTGCTGTTCACGACAAGCAAGGCATGGAATCAACCTAGATACCCTGCAGTGGACGCGCAGGGCCGGAAAGTGCAGTTCATGTGGTGCACCACTCTGCAGCCCGAAGAAGAAGGAAGCCCTGCCCTCGGCAGCAGCACGGATGGGACTGCAGTTCCCTGGGCTCTACAAAGCCAGCAGAGTGCGTGGCGAGCACGGGTCCTCACTCCCAGGAGGGCAGAGTGGAGCAGTGCTCCACAGATCCGGAACAGGAGACGGCCGAAGTGGGCACACAGCGAGCGCTCTCTAGTTTTCTAGGGTGGCAAGGGGAGCCACTGGTTAGAACCACCTGTATTTCCAAATGTCTAGAGAGGAGTACAGTGCCCCTGCCACCTAACGCTGGCTAATGTGTGGAGCGGGAAGTGCTCATTACCCTAACTCGACCATGGCATTGTGGACAGGTATGGGATTACCACAGTGTGTCTCCAAAAAGATCTATAAATACTGC